CCTTGCTTTGGGTTTATTCTTCCGTTCCTTGTACTTGAATAACGGATGTAGCCTGTCGGCCTGGGTTTATACCCACACGCATATATACGCGTATTAGTAGGATATGTGCGTGTGGGTGGCATCCGTCGGTCTCGAGAACCCGTGGATCTGAGCCCAAAGGTGCAGCATCTGTTATAGATGTACATGGCCACACGGGAGTGGCAGTCTCGATTGCAACGAATGTATGCGAAGACGCTCTCCCTCGATGTCGTCTTTTTGTTTTCTTTCCATCGAGCACGCTTCTCCCGACGACAAGACTTCGTTTGTCCTCCCCTCAACCTCGGTATAAATTGCGTCTCCAGCGTGAGCGTTCGTTGGCGACGACTTCCCGCCTCTTGCAGTGCATGCCCCCGTGTCCCTTTTTCAGACGTCCTTGAAGCGAAGATGAAGGCACCCTCTTGCCGGTGACCAGTTCCCTATATAGAATCCGAACAAAAGTGGAAAGTGCGCCGATCTCACAGTTCCTGACGATAAACCTATGACCAGGTTCATACATTGTGACCAAAAAATAGCAAAACAAGAGGTTGCAGATAAATAGTGTATTGAACATTAAATACAACAGAAGTTACACGACTTAGGAGTGTGTATCAGTTAACCAGCGTTCAATCTATATCACCGTTATATTTAACGCCTCCCCAACGTGGTTCGTATGTGGCACAAGGCCGGTTTATTGTGGGTTCTCCGAGCCTGTAGGCTCGGCCAAAAATATTCCCTTCGAACTCGTATAAACGGGTTCAGGGCCTGTCTAACTCCCCGGACGAAACTTTACCCTTCGGAAAAGCCTCGTCCGGATTCCTCTCTGCCGAAGCAGAGGATTTGAAAGTGATGAACGGTCTATAGCACCTTCCCCTCGAGGCTTACTATTCCTAGTACTTTATAGTAAGTGGAAGAGTCCATAATAGACTCATCAGAAGGAAGACACTACAACACATAATAACACCGATCAGTGCAAAAGCAAAAGTAGCACAAGGTGATATGCGAGCTGTTTGGGAGAGTAAGGGGGGACTGTTTGGAGTAGGCTAGTTTCGAGCCCAACAGATAGCCATGATCACCCACATGAAGAAGAAGAAGAAGAAGAATAACAACAACAACAACAACAACCCCCAAAAAAGAGAGAGCAGAGAGGAAACAATGGACAAGAAAAAAAAAGGAATGAAACAAAGAAAAGTTGTTGAGGAGGTTATAGCCCAGGAAGGACAATAAGAAGAAACGGAAAGAAGAAGTAGAAAAAGAAGAAGAAGAAGAAAAAGAAGAAGAAGATCATTCACTGACAAGACATTCAATAGTATTTTTCTTCTTTTTTTACCTTAAGTATTCTTTGAGAACTGAGTGCCCTTCGTACTTGAACAATGATGTCATGAGAAAACATGTCACTGTCTCACCTATCAAGCAATCTATAATACTTTTACTACTCCTCACTTCACAAGACGAACGAATTGATCTGCAAAGCTAATCACCGCGCTACAGTAGGTGCTATTTATTTATTCAAGTACAGAGACACCTAGCAAAGATCCATTTACACTCTGCTAATTTACTAGAATAATGCATCTTTCACCCAACTTTCCTGGTTCAATCTTTAAACTTAAAAAAAAAAACATTATTATTATTGTGTTGATTGGTGCGATATTTTTAGCAAATATTTACAGCTCCTTGAACATTTGTTCAGCCACTAATATTCAGCGGACTCATGCGAGTCCGGGTAAAAATAAGAAACACAAAGCATGGAATTTAACGCAAATGATAATGTTATTAAGAAAAGGTATTAAACGTGTACACAATGAAAATCAAAGGAAAATACATTAAAACGAGCTATAAGAATGTGCGCGCTTGTTTGTTTGTGTGTGTGTGCATGCGTGTGTGTCTCGGTTTGGTTGTGTGTGGGTGTATGTGTACAAAATAAGGGTGCGTGTGGGAGGTCAATTGTCGGTGAACCAAGGAGACACACTTTTCCCAACAGGAAGATTTCTTACCTACGTCCGACTATATCTGGAAGCAAGAGGAAAAACGAGAAAAAGAGAACGAAATGTTTGTCATTTTATAAACTTAAATAGCACCGACTAACGGACGTTTTTGGCAAAGCCAATTGGGTTAACACACAATAATAATAATAATAATAATAATTATTTTCTTTCGCACGGTTTTCATTTTCAACTGCAGATTATGAATGTTTTCCATCAAGACGTCCGACCTCAAATAGATTACACCTTTCGTAGAATATTTACAGTTCCAATTAACGTACACATTTCATGCTATGGGATAGTCGACTTTATTCCTATTTTTCCTCAGTGAAAGATTTTAATTTCCGTGATATAGATCCCAACGGCTCTATGATAACCGGGACAGTAGTTGCTTGACTGTCCCACATTCTGACAACTTCTGTTCAGAGTGAGGTGTATATCTTGCTTTTCAGTTTCTTTGACCATATTATAGTCATCGGGAACAGCCACGTCGATGAAGAGACATTTTCTTGTTTATTTGTCAACAACGTTAATGCCTGGTTTGGTGGTCACAAGGACGTGGTCTGTTTGGATATTGAAATCCCATAAGATTTGGTCGTTTTCCAACACTGGCTTGTCTTCAAGTCCATACTTTTTATCACTTTCTGTGCAAGTATACCACAATCTTAAGTCCGCCAGTTATGTCACGAGTTGTTTTCCCTTATCTCACGTTCCCTTTATTCGACCCGTGAGTATCAGATTCTCCAGGCCCTCCTTCCTCATTATGTGTCCCAGAAACTTCAGCTGCCTCTTCCTGATATTAAGTATAAAGTATAAGCCACCTCCTTATTTGCAACCTCTCTAAGACCTCACGTTCGGTCCATGATATCCTTAGCATCCTTCTGCAGAACCACATCTCTGTCGCCTCAAGTCTCTTCTTCATTTTTGAGGAAATCGTCCAACATTCGCTGCCGTAAAAAAAGACAGACGTCATGCAACAGTTCACTATTCTTTTCTTTGTCACCAAAGAAATCGTTCTGTCTGGCAGTACCTCTTCTCAGCTATTGGAATGCATCCTTGACCATCCCAATATGTCTACGGATCTCAATGTCGCACTTACCGTCCTCAGTCAAGACGCTACCCAGATATTTAAACTTTCGCGTCTGCTTGATTCTAGTGTTCCCGACCTGAAAATCGCATTTTGGGCTCATCTTAATACTCCCGATCATCCACTCTGTCTTCTTGTAGTTTATGCTTAATCCTTTCTTCTCACTCTCCGTCGCTACCTTCTGTAGGAGATTTTGTAATTTCTTTTGTGTTTGCTATCAGTACTGTGTCATCTGCGTATCTTGAAGGAACTCGTTGAGAGCTGCAAGGGATAGAGGGATGTGGAGAGCCATGACAGGACATGGCACATAAAAAGAAAAGATACCACAATCGCTAATCCTTGCAAAAGAGTCCACGCTTTCCTGAATCCACTTAGTGGTAGATGTTCTTCTGAACAGAATTAGTATTCAGAGGTTAGCCTTGTGTTGCTACCAGTAGGATTTTAGGGCTTAATGACGTTGAAACACGTCTTCTCGTACGATCACCGAAGATAAGCAACGTTGAGTCTGGTTAATGCCTAAATGAGTAACCACTTTGGAAAGCCAGGCGCTGTAAGCTTGGATGTGCGACTGGTGTAATGAATGACGGTACGGAATTGGAAATCAGAGAGCCGAGTTCGAATTCCAGTCGGGTACGTTATATTCACTTACTCGCAAATACTCTTGGGAAAGATATCTTTTGTGACGTACGGTGGCCGTTAATACTTACGTATAGCTCAAGACACCAATGTTAAGATAAAACAGTATTTAATTACAACCGCAAAAAATACTTAACAAGAACAAATAAGTAAAAGTCAACATTGTTGATGTTCCCATACGCCACATTTTTAGATTTCTATTTCAATATCCTTGTATTTGACAGCTTTTTTGAATATCTTCAAAGATACATTGCAGTCTGCAGGGACTGCCATATCAATAAGGATGCACTTTTTTTGTTTGTGGTCTTTAATAACAATGTCTGGGCGGTTGGCTTTGATTGTTCTGTCAGTGTGTATTATGTAGTCTCATAGAATTGTAACAGGTCCTATATCCGGAACCGGGTCTGTGTAATGTTCATACCAGTTTCTTTCAGTTTCCTTCCCGTAGAAATTGCAAATTTTCCAGTGCAGATATTGGCCCACTCTGTCATGCCGGGTTTTATACTCAGTGGGTGCCAATATCGTGCAACCTGATACAAGATGATCAATTATTTCTGGATATTTATCACAGAATCTGCATTTTGGGATAACAAAATATTTTATTATATATGCTTGATAATTCCTAGTTAACAAGCATTGGTCCTGTGCAGCAAGGATAAAACCTTCAGTTTCAGATTTTTAACATTTCATTATTATTATTATTATTATTATTTTTTTATTATTTCAAACATGAGGCAATTTTTGTTATATACAAATTTTTCTTGTTCGTCTCAACAACAAACCTAAGGTCAGAAACAAACTTTTTTTTGATTGGATACAGAGAATGAAAAAACGTCACACATTTTCATTTTACAGATATTACTTTCTCGTTATTTTGAGCTGTTTCATTATTGAATACATTTCAAATTGTTTATTTCTAAAAGACATGGGCTAACATGAGTTTTATCAAGAATTTTTCCAATCAATACGAGGATTAAAATGTTTTTGTAAGTTTTATAAAATTGTTACAGATCTTATCTCTGTAACAGGGTCTGGGTGGTGTTCATTGCAGTTTCCTTCCCATAAAAGTTGAATATTTTGCAGTGCAGATAATAGCCCACGCTATCATACTGATATTTATATTCAGTGGGTTAACACCTTGCAACTGACAATACAAGATATCAATTGCTATTGGATATTTATCACAAAATCTGCATTTCGAGTTAACGCAATTTATCATTTTATTATTATTATTATTATTATTATTATTATTATTATTTTATTTTATTATTAAGGATCACCACTCTTATGGAAGAAATGGAAGAAGAAGAAGAAGAAGAAGAAGAAGAAAGAAGAAGAAGAAGAAGAAGAAGTTAAGGAATGGACCGATTCTCTAATCAAGGACATAACTTTTGATACATACATAAAACAATGCATATATTCAGTTAAATATAAATTGAGATGATAATGGCTAATCTTCTAGAAAGAAAGAGCTTGGAAACATTTTTTTTTTTTATATAAGAAAATGTCCTAAAAAAAAAAAGAAATTATACGAAAACATGAGAAATTATAAAAAAAATTTCAGGGGACCACATTTTCTAAATTAAGTCGTTTTCATTAAAATTATTGCATAAAAAGGGATTGCTGCCCAAATAAAAAATAATATATATATATATATATATATATATATATATATATATATATATATATATATATTTGTTTGTTTTTGTGTGTGTGTAGATGAGAGAGAGAGGGGGGGGAGGAAATATTGAGTTGCAGTGAGTGAGTGAAGTGAGTGATTGAGAACAATTGAATTTTCGCAGAATATGGCTGCATTGAAGCATACACAATAATCTTTTTAATTTTCAAAGAGAGGGTTTATTACAGAAAAAATGCATAATTTCATGCACGGACAAAAATAAACATATGCCCCTTTTCCTTTTTTTTTTTTTTTTTTTCTGTTTTTTTCGCTTTGTTTATCCCCATCCCGACTCCTATTTTCCCCCTCAGCGTTAAGCACAAAATTCTGCCGCCATGTATTTGTTGACCTCGTTTTTGTGTTTGTTTTTAAGCATCATATTTTCGCGTCTTTCTCGAACGATTTAATTCTCTTGCGAATGCAATGTTTTCACATCTGGTTAACAATCAGCGAAACACCGAGAGAGAACAAAAGAAAGCGACAAAACTAACATGAGAAATTAATGAGTTTTGTTTCTTATTACTTTTCCCTACAGTAGGCATATATTCCCAGATAGATAGATAGATAGATAGATAGATAGATAGATAGATAGATAGATTGAATTGAATTGAACAGACTGAGAATGATAGATTAAATTGAACAGACTGAGATAGATAGATAGATAGATAGATTGAATTGAATTGAACAGACTGAGAATGATAGATTAAATTGAACAGACTGAGATAGATAGATAGATAGATAGATAGATAGATAGATAGATAGATAGATAGATAGATAGATAGATAGATTGAATTGAATTGAACAGACTGAGAATGATAGATTAAATTGAACAGACTTAGATAGATAGATAGATAGATAGATAGATAGATAGATAGATAGATAGATTTAATTGAACAGACTGAGAATGATAGATTGAATTGAACAAACTGAGATAGATAGATAGATAGATAGATAGATAGATAGATAGATAGATTTGAACATGTTGAAATAGCAATGAGATTTGATTAAATAGTTTGAAGGTTTTGTGTTTTCAATTTTTTTTCCTTTTGAAGAGCCGGATACAGAGACCTTTGTATGCCACAAGGGTCAAATAACCGACCCTTCTCAGGTTTTGAATTCAGAGTTGTTTCTTGAAAACAGTTGGCATATAATAATATATAGATATAGTCTGTCCTATATATTTTGAGCCATAATGGGGAGAAGAAGAGGATTCATACCTTTCCCAAGTTTATAATCAGTAAGTGAATGTAACGGATATATATATGATCTGAAAAAACTATAAAACACAACTACGGAGAAAGTGTCTGGTTAGTTAAGTCCAAACTACTGTTTATAAACAACAAATTTTTGTAAATCTATATATTAACGACCATATCTGTTCCTTGTGTGTATCCTAGCGTAAACAGTTAAATTAGAAACGGTAACTGTTGTAATTATTGCTTTTTTTTTTTAAAAAAATTTCATTTACTTAAATAAATTTTATCTATTAAAATAAAGTATAAACAGAATATATATATATATATATATATATATATATATATATATATATATATATATATATAATATTAATATTAGTGGAAATCTTCATATATATATATATATATATATATATATATATATATATAAATTCCCAAGAAGATAGAATCCAGGTATTTATCAATTCCATGACAGATGGAAGAATAATATAAAGCTCAAACACTAATATTCCATGGTTATAATTAATTACATTGAATTCAAATGATGAATTTTTTTTATAAATTCAAAAAGATTTTTTTTTTTTGAATTAAATTAGGTATGATGAATTGGATATACTAATCGATATTAAAAAATTGTAAATTGGAATATTAGTTTAATTTAAATTTATATATATATATATATATATATATATATAGTGGAAAAATATTATACGTTTTATTTTGTTTTAAATTACACGTGTTTTATAGATTTCTTGTAATATCATTAATTAAATTTCAAAATGATTTTTTTTTCAAATCCACGTGCCATGCAGGTTCACTTTGAAAATTGGCGGTTTTAGATTGATTCAATTATAAAATTTATAGCATCGTATATATTTTCTACCATAATTAAACTATGAAAGGATATATTCACATTGCAACCAAATTTAATTTAGTTTATTTTTTTCTAAAATTTTGGTTTCCATCAGCCGATTAGACATCTTAAATTAAAGGTGTATAATTTCACATTGTGATAATTGAAGATCTGCCAAGAATGGTGAAACGTTGTAAGAAACTGGGCGCAGATTTACTATGGATGATCTACTGATTAAAGCACTTTCTAAATATTGTCTGAGTAAAATGTTTTTACTTTTAATTAGAGTAGCATTTTTTATATCAAAATCGCGGTCAGTCTGGTAACGGTGAGCAACTAATGCGTTTAATGTGCAATTTTGTAAAATATTTTTTTTGCGTTTTATATTTTTTTTTATTTTTTTTTTTAGGTTTAGGATAGTGTGTTCATTTTTTGTAGCAATCATTATAGGTAATAGAATAAATTCCTCCTTCAGGTGATGGAAACAAAAAAAAAAGAATCTACATGAAATCGGCTAGGCTTTAGACCCAAAGCACATACATGTTTAAAAAATTTGTTTTTAAATTATTTTTAAATTAACATTCCCAGCGTCTCTCGTTGTGCGCATGAGCAGTCGTATTAACGTAAACAAACTTAGTCAGATGAAGTCCTAAAGTATGAAACGCGTCACACGAAAAAAAAATTCCAGTTTGTCATACATCTCTCCCCAAAAATAATCGTTAAAATTAATCAGAATTCATATTTATTTTTATCTTATATTATTTTATTCCCAAGTACTTTCGAATTTTGATACATTCGTTTACAAAGATTGTTTTTCGTATGTTGACGAACTGTTTTTGGCTAATTCTGGCAGTTTCACGTGTGCTGGAACCACTCAAGGTGATGTCATTTAAACCGTCAAAGTGGAATTTATATATCGTATATACTCGCGTACCTTTAAAAACCAGATTTTGAAGCTAGTTTGACTACAATAAATGGATATATAGTTTGGTCAACATGCTTATACGGAAAATAATTATATTAATGCTTTTTTATATCTCGTGTAAATGCAAATTTTAAAATTTGGTCTTAAAATCGCATGATACGTGAGTATATATATATATATTTTAAGGTGTTGGCATCTTTTAATTTCAGGTCCAGGTAAGCCTTCTCTTTTGCAAACAAAAAAGATTGTTTTTTGGACTTGACCCTTTTGTTCTACGCTTCTAGCAGCTTGGTTGGTATAATTTTATTTTTATTTTTTTTTTTTATTTTTCTCCTAAATTTTTTGTCCATTCATTCATGGGTAACCCATGACAGATTTTTTTTTCTTTTCCATGAATAATCTAAATTCCCCGTTAACAGTTCTGACGAGAGGGACGAAACCGGTCGAAATGGTGTGTGTTTTATTTTAAACTTATCATAGCCAAAAATACAATTTTTCTAGTTTTAATTATTTAATACGCTTTTTAATACCGTTTTTAAACCTATTTATATATATATATATATATATATATATATATATATTACACACATATATATATCCATGTGTGTGTGTGTTAGAGTGTGTATTGTTGTGGATTCCGGTTGAAATCCGGTACCAATAAATAACAAACGCCAGGAATGAATATATGGAAAATAATGTATTAACGTAATAATACAAACTGGTAAAGCAGGTTAGTAGTTCCAGGAATACGGGTTAGTAGCAAATATATATATACAGTCTTTGGTATTGAAGTATCGCTGTATGACTTCTTACTACGTGCTCGCTCATTGTGACTCATACAACGCTGTTACCTCACCCTCACTCTTCCGGTTACCTACAACCTTTTACTCTGTCACTCTGGACTCGACTCTGGTCTTCACGTAGTAGTACTATATGTATATACTGGGTGAGTCCATTTGTGTAAAAAGGGGAGACCCCCTCAACACTCCCCTCCTTAGATCACTTTTTGGGGGGAGTTAATATCTTTTCCTTTTTATGATCGATAATCAGAGGCTCTATAATTTTTCTTTTCCTGCTAGTCCTTTAATTTCTGTCTCTTCTTATGGCCTTTGAATCTCAAAAGCTTCAAAGATTGCATCCATTGAATCGTCATTTTCAGCGGGTGACGAGCTTGGCTCTTCAACCGGTCTTTTTTGAATTTGGTCAATATGTCTTCTATAGGTAAATTTTTCTCTTTGTATTGTGTACATCACGTTTCCTAGTCTGTTAATTTTTTTTTTCAAAGCTCTCTTTAATTCTTTGTCGACTTTCTCTATGGTAGCAAACGGTACGTTTCTCTTCTTTTTAAATACTTGTTGGACGTTATCTTTTAATTCAATTCTAGCTGTAAATTTGTTACATCGACCCAATCCGCTCGAAAATACTTCTGGAAATTGATTATGTAATTCTTCCTTTAGTTTTATAACTTCTGATGATTCGCACTTTATCTTTTTACAAAAAGAGCTGATAGGTAAATGCCATACGTCGAATTTCTGCATCCAGTCTGTGCCCACCAGATTTTCTGTATCCTTCATTATGAATATTTTGAGTTTTCTTGTTTTCCCGTGAAATTTTACATTTAGGATTCCTTCTCCTACGAATTTTATACGCTTTCCTGTAACAGACTTAGCAATTTTTTGTGTATGTAACATGGTTGGTCTATTAAGCTTTCTCCATGTCTGTAGGTTAATTATCGTTATATCCGAACCTTAGTCAAGTTGCTATTTTATCTTTTTATTTATGATTTCCAGTTCCACATATTTCCTTAGGTTACTATTGTCTTCGTCATTCATTCTAGTAGCTCTTATCCTACTAGTAAATTTTGTTCCTACATTAGGATGCCTTGTGACCCATTTTTCCACACTCAAGACAGTTTTTATATTTAAAACGACAATCCTTATTCCAGTGTAGTCCTCCACATCGATAACATGCAGATGGAGGGGGCTTATATTTGCTTTGATTTTCGTCATTATTTGCCCTGTGCGTTGTACTTTTTTCATTATTATAGAATTTTCATTTTCTTTCCGGGGAGGGTGAAAATCTTTTTTCATTATTATAGAATTTTTGTTTTCTTTCCGGGGAGGGTGAAAAACATAAACTTTTATTTAACTTACGTATATGTGATACTGCTGACTCCTCAATATCCTTCGAGTCTTCCAATAGTTTTTGTAGTGTTAATCCAGGTTCATTTTGCAGTTTTGAAAGCATTCTTTTGCGCATTTCACTATCTTTTGCTGAGATTAACACTTGTACAAAAATAAGACACTTGAAATTGTCTGGGGTTAATTCTGCCAACTTGAAATCGTCCCAATGTTTATTCACGATTGCGGTGAACGTAGAATAGTCCTCATTTTCATCCTTTACGAGGTTAAGACATTTCCACCTTTTGTGAAAGAGTGATATTTTCGGGCTGAAAAGCTCCGTCAGGCATGTAACTGCTTCATCAAACGTTAAATCATTTGTCTTCTTTGACAAAATGTAATCCACGAATTTTGTGTATTCTTCCGTTCCTAATTTTCTGAGTAATAGTCGTAGCTTTTTTGCTTCTGTCCAGTTTTGACAATCGATGTTGAAGATGTCTTCATGACGTCTGAAAAAGTCCCTGAAATTTTTATCCTCTTCTAGGGAATATTTGAATGTTTCTATCATATTCCACACCGCGTCTTGAGAAAAAGTCGCCTCTTTTTCAATATTTTGTTGTGTATTACTCGCTACTTTTACAATTAGCTCCTGGAGTTGTAATTGTCTTTCTTCATTTTGCATTTGTCTTTCATGATTTTCCTTCTGCGTTTGTAGTAATATTTTTTCAATTCTTTCTAGGAATTGTAATTGCAGTTCATTTTGGTGTTTAACAAGTTCTACTAAAATACTTTTAAAATCCTCCATGGTAAGACTCTTAGGAAAAAACTCGATTTTCCGTATTTTAATCCTCGTAACACTTTGTTACGCAGTTGTTGTGGATACTGGCAAAACGGCAATTTTCTCTTTTAAGTCTCCGAGAAATGCAAATTGTTGTCACCCAAGCTGTTGTGATGAGAAGAGAGAATTTTTTTTCTTTTCGTGTAGGTCCCAATTTCTCGACACCAAGTCGTTGTGGTCGACAAGGGAGAATTTTTCTTTGTACTCTTCCTGTGTTAGTTCGAATTTTCTCGTCGCCAAAGTTGTTGTGGTCGACGAGACAGAATTTTTTTTTTCTTCCGTGTGAGTTCGAAATCCTCGTCGCCAAGTTGTTGTGGATTCCGGGTTGAAATGCGGTACCAATAAATAACAAACGCCAGGAATTAATATATGGAAATAGTGTATTAATGTAATAATACAAACTGGTAAAGCAGGTTAGTAGTTCCAGAAATACGGGTTAGTAGAAAAACATATATACAGTCTTTGGTATTGAAGTATCGCTGTATGACTTCATACTGAGTCTACGTGCTCGCTAACTGTGACTCCTACAACACTGTTACCTCACCCTCACTCTTCTGGTTACCTACAACCTTTTACTCTGGACTCGACTCTTCGGTCTTGCTCTGTTCTGGTCTTCACGTAGCAGTAGTATATGTATAGACTGGGTATAAAAAAGGGGGAGAACCCCTTAACAGTATGAATTAATAAATATACGAATTATCGCTTACTAGGAGCACGACTCGGTGTTTCATGCACACTTCAGGTGTTAGACAGAATTCATCACCTGAAGATTGCGTTTTGCATGAAACTTCGAGTTTGCGATAATATGTTATCGATAATATGTATATTTATTTATTAATATATGCTTAATAGCTCAGTTATATTATATTGAGCACTTATTAACAACAGCACTATATGTGTGATATCTTACATTCATATTTACACACACACACACACACACACACACACACACACACACATATATATATATATATATATATATATATATTAGTGGATTTTGAAGCCAATACATGATGTTTGCGGTTAGCATGAAACAGAGTGAAGTTAACATCCAGAGGCGATAATGTCCGATTTTATATTTATATACATTCTATCCCTGATATTGAGCACTTTAACCCATAAATATAGCATACTTTAAAAGTAAATTTTATCATATATGTATATATAGAG